CGGCAGCACTCCAGCTGCACTGCCCCCGACTTCCCCGATTCAGCCGTTACTGTAACTGACCAAAGGCTGAATCGGGGAAGCCGGGTGCAGAGCAGCTCCAATGGTCCAGCTGCCCGGAGCACTTCCGGGTTCCTGATGGAGTGCCGGACCATCAGATGCCAGACCAATGGAGTTTTACTGTATTGTGCTGTCCACTTCTTCTGAGACAGTTTTATAATCATTGTACTAGGAACTTGTTCCACATCAAGTTGGGGAGTCTTCAGTCAGCACTTTTTTTTTTTTTTTTTTTTAAGTAAAGTTTCTACTCCTTATGGATGTTCAGATACACTCTCAGTTAACTGATACAGTGCTGCCTTTGTCCTGAGTCTTCACCCAGTTTCACCATATCTATGGGCATGGGCTTTCCCAAGCCTGCTGCAAAGTGAAATTAGCGAGACATTTGTCACTTCCTCTGGTGTTGTTCAAAACTCTTTGGGTGGCACAAAGACAAATTTAATTTTGACTGCTGCTTGTGAAAGCTGTGAGCTGAGTCTATTCATAGGTAAGGAACCTTAAAAATGGAAGCTGGGGAGTGGATTGAGAAGCAGACCTCCCTTCACTAACCTATGGATTGAGGGTGAGAACTTGTTCTTTACAGCCTCCCTGGAGTCAGGCCTTTGCCTTTTGTCAGATGCCTTCTATTCAGAGGCTGACACAAAAGATGGAACCTCATTCAGTCATCAGAAACAACACACTGGAAGTAATCCCAATGCATTCCTACTTCACAGAAACTTAGTGGTTTGTCTCTTGTGTTAGCCTATGTTTTGTAGATTTTGTTTTCAAGAAGAAAGCCTATAATCTTTTAAATTTTGTATCTATAGCTGTCTCTACCAAAGGATCTAGAAGTACTTTAAATATGTTAATTTAACCTTTTCCTGCTGTCAGGAAGGTAGATAATACCTTCACTCTGTTGAGGGGGAAACAGACCCAAAAGAGCAACTACTTGCTCAGGGTCATAGTGAATTAGTAGCAAACAAACATTAGAACTTGGATTCCCTGTGCATATTCCTGCCCTTTTTACAGGTTTATCCTTTCCTTCTTAATGAAAATCAAGTAACAGTAAAAAAGGAATATGAGTTATTTCCTAGGTTCCACTTCTCCCTAACCACTGCAGATAACAGATAACTCCCAGTGAAGACAATAGTTGCTTACATCAGGGAGGAAGTGGAGTAGGGGAGGCAAAGAGCAACTCTTTGTTTGCTAGAAACCTACTTCTGTCTAACTTTCTATTGTCCTTTTAACAGAGTGATCAAAGTGGTTTTCAGGTCACTCTTACCATGTGTATGTGCCAGTCTTAATTTATACTTAGAGCCCTGTGTGGATACACATTTTGTATCCATACCTGCATCCTTGTCTGCAAAAATGAGCTATGGATGCAAAGTGGGCATCTGAATGTAGAGGACTCTACTTATTCTATTTTTTCATCCAACAGTAAATATCAAAGGTAACTCTGGTTCTGCTACTGCTTACTTTTGACCCTGAGTGTTCCACATGGAGCCAGTCTTTCCAGAGACAAAATCATCCAGAAATGGCAATTATGATTTACACTGTCCATCTCCTTTTTAAAAGGTATCTTCAAGTTTCACTCTAGCCCTTTCTGGTACAGTGTGTGTTAATCCATAATACAGCATTAATATAGGAGCTGCTCATGTTCCTTTAAGTGACTAGTGCCAATGGGAATGGTATGAGAAGCATGACTGCTGTAAATTTGTCCTGAAACATAACCACCCTCGTAATCCTATCTTGCACAAAGGCCTATTCCAATTGGCTTATACAAGCTGACTTCATATCTCCTCCTTTGCATCACTTTTCTGAGCTCAAAGGGTGCATCTGGCTGTGAAAAGTGACCACGTCCTGACACTTGTGAGAATTCTCGTGCATTGGGTTCCTGATGAAGATGACAGAACAGATTTCAGTTTACTCTCCCAGACCTCTGTTGACACTATAGAAGTGACAAAAGAATGTGTTACAATCCTGGCTATTGCAAGGGACAGGAAGAGCCCAGCTGGAGCCTCAAAGCCTGAGTGTAATTTGCAGTAATGATCACTGGATCTTTTTGTAGTATGTTGGATCTGGAATCGTGGGGAGAGTGCAACTTTCCCAATGTGTAACTTTAGCCACCAGTCTTCGTTCTGTGCACTTGAGCTACGTTAGGGTATGTTTTTCTTTCTGTACTGGATAAAATCCCTATTTATTTGCACACAACTATACAAATTGAATACGGTGGTGTGTTTCCTGTGGGGTGGGCAGTCTTGCCATTGCTGCGTCGCTGCTGGCCTATTTTGCTGGCACCAGCAGAACTGCTGTTGCTGTAACATATATTGTGCAAAGTGCACAGCCGCTTGACAGTGCTACCTAGTGGTCAGGCAGTAGTTAGCAGGACATCTCCCTGCTGAAGCGCATTTCTGTCCTTCCGTGCTCACACCCCAGTAGCTTTCCAGTTCTTACCTTTTGCGCAGGTGCTTAGAGGGCTGGGCCCATGAACAATGACAGTCTTTTTCATGTGGCCCATGGGTGGCATCCTTTGAACATGGCCTCCACTGGGAACATGCTTCACAGTGGCGAGCCATTATAATGGTCTTCTGTTGAATGTGTTTTAGTAGTTAAATTCCTGGACTGTCATTGCATATTAAAAGTGCTGTCAAATGGGTGGAAGTTGGGTAAATATTGCATTGTATTAATATCAGCAGAACTGACTTAAATGGGGCCTGCATGTTGTGTTGTCTTGCGTTAATTTTTGTATTCATGCCAGTCAGTGTGCAAAAAGCTATTTGCATATATATTTGCATGTCTATGCAACCACACTTAAGTTGCAGCCCTCGGCATGTGCTGTGAGCATCATTGTGGCCCCTGGGGCTTCCAAAGTTGAGTAGCCCTGCTCTAGAGCCTGCTGGAACTGGGAGGGAGTGTCCTGTTCTAGGGTAGAATTTGCTCATTGCACATTTCTAAGCAGTCCCTATATCGTTCCCTATCCCCCTGTGCCTTGTAGTATCATCGTTGTACAGGGGAGAAAATCCTATTGGCTCTTCCACTGAAATTCAGCCCTCGTGTGTGTTTGCACGGTGTTCAGATCAGGATGATTGCCCGCACTAGACACCACAGTACCCTATCCAGTCTAAGTTTAAATGTCCCACATAATGGAGTTGCCATCACTTCCTCTAGGAGGCTATGCCACGGTCTGACAGGTCTCTGTACTAGAAAGCATTTCTGATATCCAGACTATGTTTTCCTTTGCTAGTTTCCTCCCATTGCTATTATCACCCAGCATGAAGGGAGACTTTTAGGGTTTGTAATATGATGGACATTCCTTTCCCCCCAGTAGTGAGGAATAGTAAATGTACCTTCTCCTCCACATGCTGATAAATTAGCTGCTTGTCTCCTTTCTCACTTCTGTGTTAGGCTTATCTAGTTCCAGTTATGTTAAGTGGCCAGTGCCTGGCTGTTCTCTGTTCCCCTCTCTGGCTTTGCTCTTTGGATTTCAATTCCAAACATGGTTATCCATTTGGGGTATCTCTTCATTCCGTTGCCAAGTGATATACATTCCAAATTCAACACAAGTGCCCAGTGCTCCCCCCACCCTCTCTGTTTCCCTGCTGCTCGCTCTGTCTCTATTTTCACTCCTGGAGGGCTGGGAAGAGTGAAAGCAACAGGAGCTCTTTCCAGTCCCATTCTCTCAGGAAAATTCCAAACATGGTTATCCATTTGGGGTATCTCTTCATTCCGTTGCCAAGTGATATACATTCCAAATTCAACACAAGTGCCCAGTGCTCCCCCCACCCTCTCTGTTTCCCTGCTGCTCGCTCTGTCTCTATTTTCACTCCTGGAGGGCTGGGAAGAGTGAAAGCAACAGGAGCTCTTTCCAGTCCCATTCTCTCAGGAATTCTCCAGCTGAAGCTCTCTGCTTACACTGTGACTGAACTTTTCGGACCTCTTTCCC